GCGACTCTTGCTTACCGCGACATTTCGCGAACCAGCTTTAAAACAGTCAGTTCCAGATCCACCGATCACAGAACTGGCGACTCTGCTGGGGATCTTATAAAGTGAGGTGTACCTTAGGACTAAGATCACTATGTTTTCAATTGCTTTGACTTGTTTGCTTTAAATTGTGGGACTGTCTTGGGAGTTCTATAGATCCTAACCCGGATCTGGGGATACCTTTTTAGAAAGTAGCAACAAGGCTGTGAGGGAACTGTGCGGGGTATACCGACATGGTTGAAGCAGTCTGCTACGTTGATGTGGCACTTTGGTGTGTACCGGTAACCCTTGAGTCAATCAAGGAGAGTACGGGGCCTCCACGTGGTGTCGTGAAGCATCAACAGACCTTAGGAACCTTAATTGAACCATCTTGGCCTCTTTAGGGTAGTGAGATAACTACTTTGGTGTACTCCGAAGTCGGTTGATACTCGATACTACACTCAATTGAGGGTTGTTTTCTTGGGATATTTTGATCGCTAGTCAGTGGCTAAATCGAAACGATGAACAATGAAAGCAATCCAATGATATTGAGATCCTTAGAACCCGGTTACTTTGATAGGACAGGTTTGAGCCCACCAACTTCAAGAGGGTAATACCCAGACCCTATGCTGGCCTAAACTCTAAGGGTTTCTCTTGTGTGACTTGTGTGCCCTCCAACTTGACTACTTGTTATCTGACACTTGAGTTTTTCTTGCAGGTTTTGTTTATAGTCCCTAATTGAGACTCATAACAGGGTTTACTGAGTTTTCTTGCAGGTTTTGTTTATAGTCCTTAATTGGGACTCATAACAGGGTTACTGAGTTTCTTGCAGGTTTTGTTTACAGTCCTTAATTGGGACTCATAACAGGGTTTACCTACGTTACCCCATGCATAGCATAACATCATACCATTGCATACATCCTGCATAAGGACTAATCCGTTTCAAGGACCTCAAAGGCTTGTGACGCAGGTCATGATGAATCAACTATCCCAACAAGGGGCAAAGAGGACTTATTTTCCTCTAGATAAGGTTGTCAGGGGCTATGACCCCAAAATCTAAGAGTGATGTGGCTTTGCAGACACATTCAGCAAAAGAATCCAAAGGCAAAGGAAAGTGGTTCGACAAAGGTAGAGGCGGTTACAACAAATCGAATGGCAGAGAAAACCAGAACGAAGGAAACATGTCGTATCAGAGAATAACATACCAAGGCAACCAAAGAGGTGGTGTTACAAATAGAGGAAGAGGTGGTGGTCGAAAACCTGATAAGAGTCACATTCAATATTTCAATTGTCAGAAGTATGGCCACTATTCGAGTGATTATCCAGAAAAGCAAAAGAATCAAGAAAGTGATGCAAAGTTTGCAAAACATGAAGAAGAAGAAGAAGAGATGATGTTGATGGTCACAACAAGAGATGAAGATAGATTCAAGGACCAATGGTACTTGGATTCAGGATGCTCATCACATATGTCTGGAAGGAAAGACTAGTTTGTCAACATAAAGCCCTTAATGAAAAATACAGTAAAATTCGCAAATGACAATACCCTAGCAGCTGAAGGTATTGGTGATGTTATAATTATGAGGAAAGATGGAAAGAGGTCAGTAACTTCCAATGTGTTGTACATACCAGGCATGAAGAGAAATTTTCTCAGTATAGGGAAGTTGATTGAAAAGAATTATAAAGTATCGATCGAAGATAAGATAATGAGAATCGTCGACGCGAATGGAAGATTAATCTTGAAGGCTCATATGTCTCAAAATAGAACCTTCAAGATCGAACTAAATGTGATGGAGCACAAGTGTCTTTCGACTGCAGCTAGCAGAGATGAATGGATATGGAATTATCGATTAGGCCATATCAACTTCAGAGACATTAGAGATTTGAAGAGGAAAAATATGGTTTCAGAATTGTCAGAAATCGACATTCCAAACGAGGTATGTGAGGAATGTGTGCAGGCAAAGCAGCACAAGAATAGCTTCAGCAAGGATGCAGGAAGCAGGTCGAAGGATATTCTTAAAGTTATATACTCGTATGTATGTGGACCAATTCAGGTGGATTCGGTTGGAGGTAATAAATACTTTGTTACATTCATAGATGGTTTCAGTCGAAAGCTGTGGACTTACCTGATCAAGAAGAAAAGTGATGTGATCGAGGTATTTGCCAAGTTTAAGTCTATGGTCGAAAGAAAAAGTGGTCGAAAACTCAAAGTTTTGAGAACTGATGGTGGTAGAGAGTATGTGTCGAAAGACTTCAACAGGTTATGTGAAAAGGAAGGGATTGTGCATGAGGTGGTTCCACCCTATACTCCATAACATAATGGAACTGCAGAAAGGAAGAATCAAACCGTCATGAATATGGTGAGAAGTATGTTAAAAGGCAAGAACTTACCTAAAGAGTTTGGGGTGAAGCTGTTTCGACTGTAACATATATTTTGAACAGATGTCCTACGAAGAAGCTAGAAGGAATTACTCCAGAAGAATGTTGGTCATGTGTGAAGCCTAACTTGAGTCATCTGAAGGTATTTGGATCTATTGCACATAGACATGTGCCAGATCTGTTGAGAAGAAAACTTGATGACAAGTCGAGTCAAATGATTCTAGTTGGATATCATTTGACAGGAGGTTACAGATTTTTCGACCCAGTGAACAAGCAGATTGTGATAAGCAGGGACATGGTCATAGATGAGCTTAAAGAATGGGATTGGACTGAAAATGTCAAGAAATATTCAGTGGGAATCCTACTTGAAGAACCAGAAACTCAAGTCGAAAGGGAAGTTCGACAAGAGGAACCAGCAGTTATAGATCAACCAACTACAAGCAGACCTCAAAGAACAAGACGCATGCCTGCAAAATTGTAAGATTGTGTGATTACATCAGATGATGTGATAGATAGTGAAGGTGAGTTGGTACATTATGCTTTATATGCAGATGTTGAACCTGTCAATGCAGCTGAAGCATTAAAGGATTCGAAGTGGGTGAAAGCAATGAACGAAGAAGTGAAGTCTATCGAAGACAACAATACTTGGTCACTTATTGAATTGCCTCAAGGAAAGAAGGCAATTGATGTCAAGTGGGTATACAATGTGAAGATGAATCCCATAGGGGAAGTAACTCGACACAAAGCAAGGCTTGTGGTGAAAGGATTTCTACAGAAAGAAGGAATAGACTTCGATGAAGTTTTTGCACCTGTTGCTAGGATCAAAACAATCAGGTTGGTTGTCGGTCTAGCAGAAATAAACAGATGGCACATATGTCAGATGGACATTAAGTGTGCATTCTTGAATGGATCCTTAGACGAAAAAGTTTATGTTAAACAACCAGTTGGGTTTGTGAAATATGACGGAGAGAGAAAGGTGTACAGGCTACATAAAGCCCTGTATGGATTGAAACAGGCTCCAAGAGCTTGGAATAAGAAAATTGATAGTTTCCTAAGGGAGAAGGAATTTGTGAAGTGCACAACTGAACATGGAGTATATGTAAGAAGAAGAAATAGTGAATTGCTTATACTATGTCTCTATGTCGATAATTTATTGATAATAGGTAGCTGCAAAAGTGAGATCGAAGACTTCAAAGGCGATCTTAGCAAGGAATTCGAAATGTCTGATCTGGGTGCGATTTCATATTTCCTTGGCATCGAATTCTACAAGAGCAGTAGAAGTTTGATGCATCAAAGAAGAAATGCAGGAGAAATTCTCAAGAGATTTGAGATGGAAGAATGCAACACAACTTTGACACCTGCAGAACCAAGATTGTAACTGCCGAAAGATGCAGATGAAGATGATGTTGATCCAACCGAATACAGAAGACTTATTGGGTCACTGAGATACTTTTGTCATACAAGGTCCAACTTAGTAAATTGTGTAGGTATGGTAAGTAGATTCATGCAGAAGCCAAAGGTATCACATCTAGCAGCGGTGAAGAGGATACTAAGGTATCACAAAGGAACTCTCGACAATGGTATTTTGTTTCCTGATAAAGGAAAAGAATATAAGTTAGTGGGATACACTGATTCGAGTTGGTGTAGTGATGCTGAAGATCAAAAATCAACAACAGAATATGTGTTCATGTTAGGTGGTGCACCAGTTGCTTAGAGTTCAAGAAAGGAACTAGTAGTGGCATTATCATCATGCAAAGAAAAATACATAGTTGCTTCTCTTTGTGCATGTCAAGCAACTTGGATGGTGAACTTGATCGAAGATATAACAGGGAAAGATCATGGAGCAATTACCATGAAGATCGATAAGATATTAGCTATCAATCTGGCGAAGAACCCGATAGCACATGGTCGAAGTAAGCACATCGAAATGAGGTTCCACTATCTTGGAGAGCAGGTAGTAGATGAGAAGATGAATTTGGAACACTGCAGAACTGAGAATTAGATTGCAGACATCATGACGAAGAGAGTGCAGATCAAAGTATTTCGAAGACTAAGAACCATGATGAATATATATAGTTTAGACACAATGAATTATGTGGTGTGTTAAATTGTAATTCATAGTATCGAAACTATGTGTGTCGAAGGGTTTAGTGGTGGATCGAAGCAGGTTGCTCGAAGGAAACCATTGCCCAGTCGAAAAGTTTGTGGATCGAAACAAGCTATACACACATATTTGATTTGTTTTAGATTTAGATATATTTGATTTAGATCTAAAATAGATATTTTGGACTTTTATAATTTTGGGCTTAGGGAGCAAGCAAAATCTATAAATACGGAGTAACTCCTAAGTTTTGTAATTAAGGCAATTCATTGTAATCACAGAATTCGCAGTTGCAAGTGATTAATAAAATTTTCCACAGTCTGTGGGCAGAGAAAAACTCTATAGAAAATAATTGTCTTCTTTCTTTTCTTTTCTCATAATTCATTGTCATTGTGTAATGATATCAATCTTATTCATCAAGATTGATAGAAATTCATCATAGATATTTGTTGAATTTCCAACAAGACATACATGATATTTGCAAATTCTTGGAACCAATATACATTGAATGAGAGGGTGTATATGGTATGTATTTATTGTAGTTTCTCCCAAGCTTGCAAATGATATTAAAGGGACAATTGAAACAGCCAAATGGGTTATTAAAATGGTTGCGTGTACAAATGTTTATATTAAAATTCCTGCAATTGATGAATCCATTCCTTCAATAAAGGAATTTATTTCTCTTGGGATAGGTGTAAATGCCACTGTAAGTTTCTGATTTATGGACTTTCTTATATATGAAGCCCTGACACACATACGAACAATCAAAAGTGTCAATGCTACAATTATGTCATGAAACTTGAGCCTTGCAGGTTGCATCAATAATATTGTGCTTATTGTTTGTGTGTTTTGAACAACTCATATTCTCTCTTCCTAGATATGAATCGGTTATTAAGGCTTACATGGACGATCTTGACGCTTCTGGTATGAATGATTTGTCAAAGGTTTCAAGTGCAACAACTTTCTAGATATGTAGAGTGGATGTTGCAATTGACAAGAAACTTGAGCAGATTGGTACTGTTGAAGCTCTTGACCTCACAGGAAAGGCCTTTAATTTTTGTCGCCTTTGGATCCATATTTATTATACTCGGTAAATATTTTGGTCATTCTGATTCGTAAACACGAATTGTTAGGTGAATATCAGGCAACTTGTGTTTTCACTATAAATTTTGATTTACAATGTTGTAATGATTATTTCGGGCCGTAGTTGCTCAAACAGAAAATCTTGGAAATCTTATTCAAAGCTATTTAAATATGTTAAATGTCTTTTATGTTTATTCCCTTGGTTTATGTGAATAGGTTTGTATAGTTTAATTTAACTCCTTACTATATTTAAGTATATCTACCTTTATTCATGAAATATATAGGTAGAATGATAATAGTTTTTATTGATAGCTATGAGTGATTCATGTTAGAATCTTAAATATCTGTGAGGGTGCATTCTATTCTATATTATAAATTTATTAAATTTTATCAAGTTTGGTACTTAAATCACAAGTCTTAATGAACTTAATTTTCTTATGATATATTCAATTTTTCTTGTCATATTCTGATAAGTCTTTTCCCTCTGATATGCTTGAAATGACCTTTTGATGTCAATTGCTTCTTATCCCTACAATTCTATTTTGTCTTTTCTTTTATGTGCTTATTTGTTTAATCTCATGTATATCTACTTCCCTATGAATTTTGTTATTGTAATACAATGAATTATTTTCAGAGCACTTTTGATCTTTGATAGTATTTAAGTTGCTAGAATGATAAGATATGGAAATGTATTGGCTGGAGAAAAAAGGTATATTGTATCAAGTTGGTTTTCACCTTCCGTTGACTGTGATTTTGTACATTAGCCATTAGTTTTTCACCATCCTTTGACTCTGTCGCATTATATTGTTTGATTTTGATAGTTTGTTAAATGATTTGCCTAATTTGTAACATTATTTAGATTTATTCATATTTGTTTTTCTTTGCATGACTTGGCTAGTATGTTCACTGGTTTAGCTATCTTGGTTGCTTTCTTTTACAATTTTTTGTTGCTTGATAAATGATTTTTCTCCTTTGGTTCCACTCCTTACTTGTGTGATTTTTATACTATCAAAATTAAAGACATATTTCCCACAAAATAAATGGAATATTTTTTAAACATTTGACATTTGTGGCTGTAACAATTGCCACATGATAAAATTGATATGATGAAAATTATGGCGGTTAGAGCTGTCGTTATTTATAAAATAAAAACCTCCATTGTATACTGTGTTACGGCGGCGTGCACGGCATCTTCATAAAAAACATCGTTTTATTCCTAGCGGCAGCCAAATTTATGGCGTTGTAAAAAAACGCCATTTTCGTATATTATGGCAGTTCAAAAGGCCGTGATAGCACAATGTTAACCGCCCCAATTTCCCAAGTTTTTTGTAGTGAACAATAATAACATTCATCTCGATAATAGACATGTTATTCTATACAATCTCAAATTGTTGATGAAGTTTCAAGCTCATATAAATATGGAGTGGTGCAATGAAAGAACTTTCATCAAGTATTTATTCAAATACAATAACAAATACTACGATAGAATAACTGCTGCCATTGTTTCAAGCGAAGAAGGAAACTAACTGATTAACAACGTATTGATGAAATTAAACAATACATTGATTGTAGATATGCATCTCAAAGTGAAAGATCTTGGAGAATTATTAAATTTCTTATACATAAAAGGAAACCATCTATTGAAAGGTTATTTTTCCATTGTGAGGGGGGAATTTTGTATATTATACAGACACTGATCATATTAATATCTCACTACAAGAAAATTAGTGTTTAACGACACAAAAATTGCGACAGTTATGTGATAACTGTCGTAATTGACATATAGAGACAGTTTTTACGACGGTTGACACCAACCGTCCCTAATATTTATTTTGCGACGGTATATTTAACCATCATAATATTATTATTACGACGGTAAAACAACCGTCGGCCCCCATTTAACACTTTTAACATTGATTTTTCACCAACAACTAGTCACGACGGTAAAATTAACCGTCCTAAAAGGCATATCACGACGGTAAAGCACCCGTCGCACCCTTAAACCTTTCACGACGGTAAAATTATCCGTCCTAAAATTCATTTCACGACGGTAAAACAACCGTCGCACCCAAAACCTTTAAAAATTCTCATGGGCACGACGGTAAAACACCCGTCGCAGTAAAAAAGTTAAAAATACCAAAAAAATACCAAAAAAAGTGAAGGGCCTTAGGAAAAGGTAGAACATCTCGGTCCACTAGAAGCAAGATCCATATCCAACCTTTCTATTCCCAATCAACATTATCTCCTCATTTATACTTATGATAAGAGAATAACAGAAAAAATAAGATTTGGGATTTCATATGTCGTGTATGCCTTGGTTGCCAGAGGCACGGTGGTTCTGGCGGAGTTCAGTGCCGTCACCGGCAACACAGGCGCCGTCGCTCGTCGGTTACTCGAGAAGCTTCCTACCGAATCGGATTCCAGACTTTGCTTCTCTCAAGATAGATATATCTTCCACATACTCCGATCCGATGGCCTCGCGTACCTTTGTATGGCCAACGACACCTTCGGAAGTGAGTAGCTCGCCGTTCTTTTGTTTTCTTGATTTATTGTTTTTGACCTAATTGCTTTAATATCCAATTCTAATGTTTGTGCTGAAAAAATGATTATGGAAGGATCAGTATTCTTTCTAGAATGAAGATAGGGTTTACTTGGAGTGGTTTTGGTTAGTTTCTTTTGTTTAAACTTATAATGATTATATGATTGTTATATATTGAAAATGAACTGTGTTGGTGTGGTGAAATTGAAAAAAAAAAGGTGTGATTGAAGTCTGCATCATTGTTTATGTGTTGTTAGTTAGTTCATCTATTAAGAGATTCAATTGTGTTGCGGAGAGGTGTTCTTCAGAGGTTTTTCTGGCTTCTGTTGAGTGTTTGGAACTGATCAGGCTTGATACTGCAAATTATGCAACCGCGTTAGAAGCAGAATCAAACAGAGGCTTCATTCAATTGGCATCTGAGGAACATGGTGTGGCACCGTGTCTGATGCTGTCATTGCTTTTGAATGACACTTTTCCGTAAGGTAAAAGGGAGAAGAACAAACCAGTGATGCTAACTGGATTAATGGACAATCATTGGAAGGCTTGCACTGATTGGGTTAACCCTAATGGAAAACCTAATCTCCAATTTTCTATTTCGTACATTGTTCTCTTCTTGTATACCACAAACAAACTGGTGTGCTCAAGCCTAAAACATGTCTTCAAAGCAATATTTGTCAATAAATGTTTATCCAATTAAAAAGCCCTTCTAAAATTTCTGTTAGCCAAGTACGACAAATAAGGTTAAAAGACCACTTTATAGCTTAAAAAGGAATTGCTAAATATTTACCTCTAAAGGATTTTCCTCAACCCGCAAAATGATAACATTTCTTGTACAAAAACACCCTTTTAACAGAAAAAATCTTCTCTATAGACCAATTTGAAAGAAATTTTTGTCATCGAGTGAAGTCTACTACCAGTGGTAGATTTGATGAATTTCGAAATCATTGTATTTTAGGTGGTCTTCGGACGTTGGGAAAGAAATGATGTTACAGAAGTCATCAACACAATGGCAAAGATGGCTGATCACGCTGTAAGCATTTTGAGCTGCTTGTTTTCAGTTACAACTTCGATTTTGCGTGTTCTCTTTTATGGCATATTGAGTTCTAACAATACTTTGATTTAATTGTATTTATTCCAGGTGATTGCTGATATTGTTAGCATTATAATGGAGAAAATTGATATGGTCACACTTGACTTGTGTACAAGTCTTCTGCCACTTCTAAGTGACCTTTTACAAAGTGAAATGGATAGGTAAGTGATGTATCTTTCTGTTTCTTGTTTGACATAATTTTTCATCTGCCTTTATTAATTCATTTGTCTCAATTGTTGCGAAAATCACTGTCTTCTGTATATTTTGGCTTAACATGTTTCATTGTTTTTCTTATAAATTTATGCAAGTAATCACTTGCAATGCAAGATATCTTGGGGTTTCATGTTTGGATTAGCTATCAAAACATTACTTGACTTTTGTTTGCCCATAAAAATTTCCAGCTGCAGTATTTTTGTGTTGAGTATATTGGGTGAACTCCAATTTAGCCCTCAAAATTCTATGTATAAGACAATCCCAAGAATTAACCATAATTTTAAATGATTTCTACAAGTGAAAATTCTTGATTACATTGTTTTATTTTGGGAAGTCAATTTAGTTTCTAAAATTGTTTGGAACATAGTTTGGAAGTGATTGATAATTTTCGATATCATAGGTTATTTTGCAATTTTGTTAAATTTGTGGCCCTAATTGCCTAACTCTACAATACAATTTCAAGACTAAATTGAGGATTACATTAGTAAATAATAAGTTGACTAAATTGATGAGCATGGGAAATTTCAATGCATATTTTATAGATTTAGTTTCTATGTTGACTATTTTCGTATCATATATTGTAGACATCTATCTATATCCGTGGAAATGTTATTGAACCTGGTCAGAGTATTTGGTTCAGTAATCTTTTCAACGCTATCAGCTAAACCCTCTGTTGGTGTTGATATTGAAGCAGAGAACAGGTCCACATTCCTGACTTATTTTATTTTACCTTTTATATATTCCATTACACAATTTCATTTTTGATTGTTAATATGATCCAGGCTAGAGCGTTGCAACCTCTGCTTTATAGAGCTCGAAAAAGTCAAACGTTTCCTACCTTCTCTAATGAGGTACATGTTTAAGTTTATTGGTTTGTCTTTTATTAAAAGAAGAATTTTCCTTTTGTTTTATTCGATTCTGGTGCTGCTAGATGAGTAATGCTAATTACTTTTTAATTTACAAATGGTTTGCTTAAATTCATGTTAATTTAAATAAATGGTAGAATTGAGAGAAAAAAGCCTACACTAAAATTGGTTTCAGCTTTACATATAAATATAGATTTTGGAAGTTAAAAAAAAGAGTTTTTGTGCTAAAAGTAATCAGGAAATTATGTATTGGGATGATTTAGAATTTCTCATGTTAATTTCCATATTATTTGTTGTCCTTTCATCTGTAGAAGAGGAGGATCAATTGCAAAATCTGCACACGAGTTGAATCTGGTACTTCAGGACGTGTCGTGACTCTAACTGGATTTAGAATTTCTCATGTTAATTTCCATATTATTTGTTGTCCTTTCATCTGTAGAAGAGGAGGATCAATTGCAAAATCTGCACACGAGTTGAATCTGGTACTTCAGGACGTGTCGTGACTCAATTACAAAAGGCCTGTTCGATATTGTGATTTGCTAGGTCGGTCTAAAAATTTGACAACCATTTCTCCAATCTGTAATTCTCTCCTCTTCTTCGTTTTCTTCATTCCTACGCCGTTGAAGAAGTTGAAGTCTATGTGGGTGTTCGTTCGTCTAACATACTCTAGATCTCCTTGAAGCATTAAGGTGGTTGATGCTTTGTTTTTCTTGGAATTATTGTGAATTCTAATTGTCAAATTTGCATTTCATGGTTCCCACCTTTTTCTTAACTTAAGTTTTATGTATTAATAGACTGGAATTATCCCAGTTAGGATGATGACTACCTTGTTTGCTTGAAGATATATATAATATCTAAATTACATATATATAATATCTAAAGGTGTGATTTTAGTTGGGAAGAAATCTTGAAATGACCATGAATCTCAGATGATTCTGCACTTTTCTATGCGAAGAGATGAGCAATCCAACAATAACTTCTTACTTTAACTTCTTACCATAATCAGTTTTGATGAAGTATGCGTGATGTTGATTATCGTTGTTGAGAAGCCGATTCGGACTTGTTGATGAAAATGATTTTGTGTAGAGAAGCAGTTAGAGAGTGAGTTTTGGAGAGAAGTTCTGAGAAGAGTTTCGGATGTGTGCAGAACGAATTGTTGAAGTTTTAGAAGTGAAATCGTTGAAGACTCATAGAAGATTTTTTGTAATTCTCTCAAGTTGTAGCAAACCAATGTAAATATTAAAATGAAATTTGGTCTTTGATGATATTTGAATTTTTCTTGTTTATTGGTAAAATTTGCACTTCTTTTTACCTTTGATCACATTTTTTTGATATTATTGATGATTATTTGATATTAAATGTTTTTATTGTAATTAACTTTATTATGTTGAAAAGTGATAGAAAATAAAATAAAAATACTATAAATAAAAAAATATTAAAGTAAATAATAATTTAAATATAATAGTAAAATATTATAGTAAAATAATATTATATTTAAAATTATTTTACTAAATAATAATTTAAATAAAAATATTATTTGAAATTTATAAATCAGATTACGACGGTTAAAACCGCCGCAATTTCTAACCTACGGCGGTAGAATAACCGTCGCAAACAACAACAAAAACAAAAAATAAAGTCAAATTCACGACGGTATATAACCGTCGCTATCTGTTGTGCGTGACAGTTTTTGCAACCGTCGCGAAATAGGCTGGGGACGCACGATTCTGCGACGGTACTTCTACCGTCGTAGATTGTAAATTGCGACGGTTTTAACCGTCGTAATCAGCCAAAATAACCGTCCCAATCTATCATTTTTCTTGTAGTGTCTTTTTGAATAAGCCAAGTATCACGGAATCGATGTTTACAATATGATTTGAAGCAAACAATAAATATTCCCAATCTAGAGAGTTAGCATACAACAAATTTGTTTCGAAGTTTGTTTATGTCAAGAAAAAAAGAGAATGGAAGCCCTAACAAAAAAGTTACATAATTGGTAGGTTAATTTGAGTTCCTCCAATCATTGGAAAATTGTATTATTTTAGAATGATGTTAACCCATGTCAGAGGTTCGTGAAGTTATGACGAGATAACAATTGTTAACAACATCAAATATGAAACATTTCATGATACATATTTTGCTATGGGGTTTATGAGAGATGATAAGGAATTCATATCAGTAATAACAGAGGCAAACCGTTGGAGATCAAGTCATTTTTTAGAGTAATTTTTGTCCATATGTTATTGTTGATTAACATATGTTTGGAGTAAAACACGATATTTATTATCAAACGATATTCTCTACGCTCAACAAACACTTGCAAGTAATACATGTGTACACTAACGAGTTTAACGATATTATTATGCATATGTTTGTACACTAATTATATAAGTTATATTCATAACACAATATGATTTATATATAATAACCAAATAAAAAAAATTACCATGAATTACAAAATTTGTTCAATTTATAATCATAACGTACATTTATTATATCCATTAACTTTACACACAATATGTATTCGTTGATATATCACAAATTCTTAGAAGTTATACAATTTAAAAAACAATCAAGTGATCATACATTTTAGAAATGTATAACGTTTCTTAACAATCAATTTCATTGGGATACTAAACTTTGCATACTGCATCTACAAAGATTTTAAACAGCAAAAAAAACAAAAGCGATATGTTTGTAAAATTTTGAGACATGCTCCGCATAAATTTAGACTAATCGAAAAGTCAAAATAAAGTTGTACTTGAAGCATAAAAACAGCAAATATTCTATAGTAAAATATTTATGACCGAATCTTTTTAGTGATAAAACCTGTGAATTCTACATCATTTTTTTACGAAAAACAATCATGTTATTGTCGTGACTATTGAAATGGCATAAAGAATAGATCTCTTAATCAGCTATTTTATCATATGGGCTGTTTCCTTATATCGTGTGTGTGAAAGATAGGGATTGCAGGGAAATGAAAATAAAAATAAAATGCCAGCAAATGTATAATAGGACAAACACTTCAAATGCTGTGATGTATATCAAACACTAACAATATTCTATATAAATACTATAGAATATTGTAGATTCAACCGTCTTCATTGGAATCACCGTCTTCATTAACCACCCTATATTCTCAATATTTTTTAAATTATTAAAATGTTGTCTTCATTAAACACCCTAAGTCATTCCCTATCTACTTCCCTTTTTCTCTCTTTCATTTTTCTTTCATCTTATTAGAAATTAGCTTCAAAATATATATACACTAATATACAACATTTCTATCTATTTTTTCTCTCTTAATTTGGACATAATTTGATATCAATTATTTAAATATAATAGTGAAATTAAAAGACAAAATTAGAATATATTTAAAAATTTATACTAAACAGGTCAATCCCTTTAACTCATGGCATAGTAGATACTTTAAACACGTTGAATTATACACAAAAAGGAATCGGAACTAACAAATTATTCTAAAATTAATGCAAACAATGACTTCTGATCTTACATGATCAGAGTTGGACCGTCACAACTGGTTCGAACTGGATCTGAATGAGATGGGGGTACCTGCAAGACACTCCGATGATAAAGTAAGCGACAGAATGAGCAGGTGGATTGTATCTAGGTGTGTAAAGAATGAATACCTGACCCTCTTGGAATAGAGGGTATTTATAGCCCCCAGTGCTGGACCAAGGTCCCTTTATTGGGCCGGCTAAAATTGGCCCAATCAAAGGGACTGTCAGGTTCTATGTGAGTAGTGGGGACCTGCACGTGGTCCCCTTCCTGGATGATGCTCTGCGAAGGATAAGGAAGAACGAAGACGTGATCTTCCCGAAATTCTTAAGGACTCTGAAGCATCCGGAGGGGCTGAGTCTGCCCTACGGGGTGGATGCTCGAGCAAGGCCCGAGTTGGGACATCTTTGGTCGGGGATGCCTCTCGTCGTGGATCTCGACGGGCACATCCATATTGGTGCTACAGCCCGTGACTGGGTATGCTCGGGGGATATGGTTCCCGGCATAGCTCGAGGCACGGCTTGGACTGAGCCTTACTTGTGATTTGGGTCGAGGACAGGCCCAGTCCAGAACAGAAGCCCCCCAAATCGTTGTTCCTGGTACAGGAGTTATGGCTTGATCCCAATTCGTTCTATCGCGTGGACCTCGTGTCCGGTACCGGGTTTTTTCATGTCGAGGGGTGCTCGAGGATTGCTTGCGGGGACGCGTCAGTTGTGTCTGTTGGGCACGTGGTGTAGTTCTTGGAAATCGCAACGCCGCCCTAGTGAGTAGGGCCATCATTGTCTAGGTGAGCAGGCGTCGAGGACGGGGGTGGTTCGTGGTTCCCCGGTGCGATGTTTCATATTCCACGTCATCCCTATAAATAGGATCCCAGGGCCCATAGCCTGTTTCACCTCTTTGCGCTTTTCCCATTTTCTCTATTTTTACTGTCGCGAGTTCCCATAACGCCATTGAGACCACCGCGCCGTTCTCCGTTCGATTACTTCCACCATCGTCGTTCTTCGCATCTTCTTCCAAGTAAGTGTCCTTTCTCTTTGATTTCCCGCGTTGTAGGTAGTTTTGATGACGTTTTGCTAGTAGAAACTTGTATCTGGAGATTGTGCCCGGTAGATTGAAGTGCGCTAGGCGCCTGATTCACGGTTGTGCCCAAGACATTCATAAGTTTAGGCATATGGTTCATGATCTTTCCCGTGATGCTCACGCGTTCTGGTTAGTAGATTCATGAACTTGGCCGGGATATTCACCCTTTCGTTAGCATGCAGGCTAGGCTCTCCGTAGTATTCTTGTACCGGGTGAGCGCAAATATGAACTTGGTCGCGCGATTCGAGCTTCGCATGGGGTACTCACGTTGCACTCGTGTCGTTCATGATTGATGAGCGGCGGGCGTCGGGTGTCGGCGTTTGGTCGAGATCCACTTATTTCACGTTTCCCTCGCGAACGGCTGTAGACTCGAGTTGAGCGTTGCTTACTTTTCCCCGACTTTGTGGCGGGCATGCGGATTTGCTGTCGAATTCACCGATTTCATGTACTTTACAGGTAAATGGCTGACATTCCCGAGTCCTCGGGGCGTAATGACGTCGAGGATGCAAGCACAACAGAAGAGTCTGTTACCCTGGTCGGCACCGCCGATGATCCTACGCTGGATTGAGTGGGTGCCGAGCCCTGGGGAATAGCTTTGGTGTACAGCCATCGCAGCAGACAAGCTTATACTGTCGTAGAGTATGGCGGTACTCAAGAAGGATTTCAACGGAACTTTAAAATAATGAGGCCGGCGAGGGATGCTCGTATTTGCTCGGAGTTCACCCAAGATGCATTCCCCATGTATGAGATCGTGTTCAAAGATCTCGGTCTCC